ATACAATTAGCAGGTTTCCTTTTTTATTTCTTTAATTTTTTTCTTTTCATTTTTGTTGTCTTCCTCAATACACATTTTTCTTCATTGAAACACTTCCTCCTTCATCTTTCTGCCCCATTTCAAAAAAAAATTATTTTCATTTTACTAGTTCTTTATTAATTCGTACAATTCAATACGAAGTCATTTTATTGACGTTGATTTAGCTTTATATTATTGGTATTGATTTCATAAATGTAAATTTTCTTGAATTATGAGTGACTCATTTTGATATCTATATCTAATCAAATAATTTTAGTAGAACTTATATTTTTTTTATCGGCTTTCTTATGTAATTTTTATTTCTTATTTGAGTTGTCAAGAAAAAATTAACTTTCAAAAAAAGATAATTCTCCAGTAACAAGGATAACATCAATTAGGATGTTAATAGCACTAGCAGCAGTGCATGATCTTAAAATCCACCAAATAGATGTAAAGACAACCTTCTTAAATGGAGAGTTTAGGAAGAAATTTACATGGAACAATCTGAACGATTTATAGTTCATGGTAAAGAAAAGAAAGTGTGCAGACTTGTGAAGTTACTTTATGGACTAAAGCAAGCACCCAAACAATGGCATGCTAAATTTGACCAAACAATGTTGACAAATGGATTCAAGATTAACGAATGTGATAAATGTGTTTACATTAAAAATGTTATGAATCATAAAGTCACTGTTTGTTTGTATGTTGATGACATGTTAATAATGAGTAAAGAAATCAACGATATAAATGCTACTAAGCGCATGTTGTCCAGCAAGTTCGATATGAAAGACTTAAGAGTTGCTGATTTGATCTTAGGGGTCAGGACTATCAAAACTCCCCAGGGACTAGCATTATCTCAATCTCATTATATTGAAAAAGTATTGGATAAGTTCAAGTATTTGAATTTCAATGTTGTCAAAACACCAATTGTTTTAAGTTGTACATTTAAAAAGAATGAAGGTCAAAGTGACTCTCCATTGGCATATGCCAGAGTGTTAGGAAGTTTGATGTATACTATGAACTGCACGCGACCAGATATAGCATGTACTATTAGTAAACTGAGTCGGTACATTAGTAATCCGAATCAAACTCATTGAATGGCAATGAAACGTGTGTTGGGTTATCTAAAATATACACAACATTATGCTTTGCATTGTAAATATCCTGCTGCTATTGAAGGATATAGTGATGCAAATTGGATCATCAGGTCAAATGATGTAAAATCCACGAATGGTTATGTGTTCATACTTAGTGGAGGAGCAGTCTCTTGAAAATCGTTCAAACAGACATGTATTGCTCGCTCTACAATGAAATCTGAATTCATTGCTTTGGATAAGGCTGGTGAAGAAGGTGAATGACTCTAAAATTTCCTAGAGGATATTCCATTCTGGCCCAAACCTGTTGGACCAATTTGCATAAATTGCGATAGTCAAGCAGCAATAGGTAGGGCAGGGAGTGTTATGTACAACGGAAAGTCTCGTCATACACGATGGAGACATAACACCATAAGACAACTGCTCTCTAGTGGAATTATCACAATTGACTACGTAAAGTCAAGCAATAATGTGTCAGATCCACTAACGAAAGGCCTAGTGAGAGGGGAAGTTGAAAGATCATCTAAGGGAATGTGTTTACGGCTTAGGACAAGTCAGCATGACGGTAACTCTATCTAGCATATTGGAGATCCCAAGAGCTAGATTCAAGGAGAAAAACAAAGTTGTGGCTGACGGTTCGACATTGTCAATTAACTCAATTCATTCTCATGATGAACACAATGTTCAACAACAAGGTTAAGACTTTAAGGCTTGTTAATGAGGTAATAAATCTTAAAGTTTTTAATGATTTGCTAAGTTTGGTAGTTTTGACCAAATAGTGTATCTACGAGATGACACGGTTAGAAATCACCTATGTGAGAGAAAGCCGCTTCATAGAGAATTTTGTGTCAAAAGCATATTCTCTACACTAATGAAACCAGGAGGTGTTCATGGCTGAAACAAACACAACTGTAAGAACCATAAATAGTAAATGGTTAATTGTGTGACATATGGTTGTCTAGGTATACACTAAAGCTCGATGGTTCAAAGATATCACATCTACCGACTGACAGAGTATATCTGACATATGTTCACTACGGAAAGTCCAAGGGGAAACCTACTTATCCAGATGCAATTAATCCTTGCATGTAAAGTACACAATTGTCCGTCCATTCCTATGTTATAACCATTCCCATCAATGTGGGGGATTGTTGGGTATGTAACAAGAATTGAACGGAAATAGAGGGAAGTAGAGGAGCCTGAAAAGTTGAGAACTTGAAAAGTTGGGAACGTGAAAATTCCTCTTATGCTTTAATGAGAAGACATTTGTCTCTCGTCAGTGATGGAAAAAAAATAGGAGAGTTTAAATACAGAGTCACTCCTATTAATTGTTAAAAGGGTTGGAAAGAGGGACCCCCCTCGCGTCGTCTTCGTCGTCGCTCGCTCGTCTAGGCTTCGACTTCGGCTTTGACAATGTTTCAACTTTTTAGTTGAGTAAGCCGACCCGACTTGGATCCCCGTGCGACCCGTTTTATTTGAACTTTCTCATTTTATTTAAATTTCTCACAATGACTATTCGGAAAGGTTGCAACTTTAAGGAACAGTCAGTACCATTTGAATGGTTGCGAACTTTCATTAATGGTCGTGTGAATTCTGATATGGTTGCAACCTTTCAAAAACATAGTCTTCTTGCCTATAAATACCACTCATTCTTCAGAATATTTTCTAATGAATTTTCTGATCTTCTTCTTCTTCTGCACACATTTTTCTTCATATGTTTTCCTGTTGTGGATTGATTCATTGACAGTAGAGTTTTTTGGTATCTACACTCTGCTGATTAAGATCATTTTACCCTGGGAGGTTATATTCCAAATCAAACCTCGAATACTAGAGGGAAATAATTTCTTAAGGGGACACCGTGAGTTCAGTGGACTTCATCTTTTTCCAATTTTTTTTTTCAAATTCTGATACGTTCTTACAGATTTTAGTTAAAAATTTGTTCATCTCTCTTACTGGTTTTATAAATTTCAGTTACTTCGTGTTTCTGAACAATTTATTAGAATCAGTAATTTCTGATTTTGATAACACAAATTGAATACACATACCACGTAAAAAGTTAAAGTGTTGCCAAAAAAAGAAAATGAATAATTTTTTTTAAACAAACTAAAAAGAAAATAGAGACATTTTTTTCTAAACGAAAGGAGTAATATTTTATAGCTCAAAGAAGTTAAGATAATCATATCTTTCGCAATAAATAATAGTGTACATAAATATGAACAACTAAAAATTTTATCATAAATCATAAATGTTACATAAATATATTGTGGCAAACAAAATTTGTATGAGGCCCACTTATATTTTGCCATTTGAATCTGTTTCAGAAAATTGACCGAACTCTTTTTTCTCTCTCTTCCTTTTCACGTTCCCCCCCCCCCCCCTAATATTTTATAGCTCAAAGAAGTTAAGATAACCATATCTTACGAAATAAATAATAGAGTACAAAATATGAACAACTAAAATTTTTATCATAAATCATAAATGTTACACCACAATATTTGTATGAGGCCACTTATATTTTACCAATTGAATCTATTTCAGAAAATTGACCGAACTCTTCTTTCTCTCTCTTCCTTTTTACGTCCGCCCCCCCTCACATTTTAACTTTTATTTCGTTTGGTTTCTTTTCTAAAAATGTATCAGATTTTGGTTTCTTTTCTAAAAATGTTTCAGATTTCATACTTAAACTTTATTCATGAAGAATATGAATTTCAAAAGATTTTGCTTGATTCATTTTATTTTTAACATTTTAATATTATTTTTTCATATCAGTATTAATTATCTATCATTGTTAAAAATAGTTATATATTTCTTTATTTTCAAAGATTTAATTAATTATAATTTTCTATTTTATTATGACAATTAATTATTTTTAAAGTTGCAAATAAAATTTATAAAGCTAGCCAAAAAAAAAAGAGTATAAATTAGTAAAACTATTATTCTATCTATGATTTCTTAAAGAAATTTGTAAAAGAAAAAATATATTTTTAATACGATAACAACTTATCTTTCTCCGAACAATTTCATAATCGAAAAGCAATTCACTTCACAAATACTCTTCAAAAGTAAATATAACAAAAAGAACATCAACGATCTTAACAAACAATAGTACAAGTTCTGCTACTATTATCATGAAATTCAAAAACGAAATACATCCACAAACATATTATTTCCATCAATTTACACTATTTATTTCTTAAAATAGTAAAATTTAATTAATATTTTATTTATTAACTTTACTTACACATTTCTTAAAAAATTATAAATATAAATAATAATTTTAATAATATATTCCTATATAGAATTTCGCAATTTTACAAAATTTATTTATAGTTTTTTTTAATAAAATAATTGCTAGAATTAGAAAACATATTATACCTTGATAATATAAACTAAAAAGTACATTTCAAACAAATATTTATTATAATAGAATAAAAGTATAAAATTAAAAAATAATATTAAACTAAAAACTTATATAATGATTGTAAAATTTAAATAAGATACATCAAAAAAGGAAAGGTTAAACTTATCAGATCAGCAATTAAATTCAACAAATAAATTCTTACAATATGATTGAAGTATCTCAAAAAAGAAAAACATATTTAAAAAACATTAGAAAACAATTTACTGAGCAAAGGAACACAAAACAAAAGGAAAACAAACACTTAAAATGTTCCTTTACTAGCTTGACAAATAGATTCCATTTATGTCCGTTTGCCAATCAAACAATATCAAATACAGGTATGACATAGCGTGCATCATACATAATAAAAATTTTCGGTCACAAATCTATATCACACAAATAGACTAGCAAACAAGTTCTACACCCACCACATAATTTCATTTACAACTCCAGATGCATGATTTCAGTTGCCAAAAAAACAGGCAGACTTGGTGAGTAAGCCATAAATGAGTTCATCGTTCATCTGTATCCAACAGCTCTAAACTTGGGTCATGCATGAATATTTTTTTAAAAAAAAAACTCAAAATACAGGCAATTAATATAATATTGAACCCGGTAATTAGATGGCATGTAGCAGAACTCGACACACGAACCGATAGAAGTTCGTATTCTAAACTCATCTAAAACTCTCTACAATACGGAAAAAAAAAGATTGATCACCCTGGGCAGCAAAATGTTGGTAGCTCAAACATGCAATATAAGAAGTCAACAAGAGGACAGGAGTTGAAACTGTCATACATGCAAGAGAAGCACAACTGAGACAAAATACAAATAGCAAAGAAGCAATCCCGGTCAAAGCATAAAATATCTCTCCGTGAAGAACTGCAAAATACAGGATAATAACAGCTAAAATTAGCAGGCCATCAGACTTGATAACTATCTGCAGACTGAAATAGTCTGGAATAGTATCTACTTACCAGCCAGCATGCCGTACTTCTTAATCAGACACAAAAACAAAAGAACTGCAGGTAGTCAAAGTTCAGTATAACATGGATTAAAGCAGGTGAAGCACCTGAGAAGATGAATCATGAAACAAACAACATATGTCCAGTTGCAAACGCAAACCCTAAGACATGACTCAGGGGGGACAGATAAGGCATGACTAATTCCAGAATTAATTTCGAATGAATTTATCCCATGGTTGGTTGGATAAACGCACCAGATAACTTATCCCGAAAATAAATTTAACTTGGGATTGTAACGTTATTTTTATCCCACACTAAGGGTGGGTAGACAATCGCAGGATAACTAATCCCAGTGTAACTTGTTCCTCAACCAGATGAGCCCTTAAAGAAACATGCATGTGCTATAGTTAACTCAATAAATACAGCACAGGAACAAGTAATATCACCATCACATCTCTTTTAATGCCACTAGCAATAAGATACCCCTCTAATGCCATGAGATGAAAAATAATAGATCAGAGATTTTATCTATCAACAAAAAAATGGGCTTAAGTGGAAACTAAAGAACAAGAAGCATCTCAACCAGAGGTTGATCCCAATAAAAAGACTAGGCATTCGGGCCAGCAAAGAGGAAAACAATAAGCAGGCATCCTGCTCACCACATTCCAGCCTTTCAGCTACATCCCCTCGCGATAATCCAGCAGCTAGCAGGTATACCTATGGAAGCCCCCCAAAATATGAAAGGTGATACATCATTCCAAGAAGTGGAAAGAGGTCATAACATTCACAAACAAATACTAATGACAGTCACAAGGAGACAAGGAGGACTAATTAAAGCAGAACATATCAAAACGTACCACATCCGCTGAATGGTTGGTACTGTTGGTGGGCTAGTAAGAATAAACCATTACCATGCAATTTGATGAATGCATAAAGAGTAAGTTCTCAAATCTGCCACCTCTTTCAGAAGCACAAGTCAGTTGACTACGATTATATAGATGAAATAAACAGCAAAGAACTTGATTGCTAGCAAGCAGATGTATATATTCTTCAAAGGGGTGATACCACCAAATGAAAATAATAGCTTTGGGATCCCAAAAAGATATCACAGCCAACCTCGGGCTAAAGTTGATAACCAACTATTCCAACTTAAGTATGCTCCGATGCTCTACTATATGATATTAGTGGTTGTAAGTTTACAATTAAGCGAGCTGCTGTACACGAAATTATGCCCTGGAGTGAATCATCCATATGGTTGCTAACACAAGAAAACTCAGATTACTCCCTTGCAAAGCTGAACAGAACGCATGCTCCAAGTGGTCAGGCATCACAACTTCATGGAAACAAAGTAAAGTTAATTGCCCTAAGCTATAAAAAAAAATAAACCACTTAAAGGGCAGTGTTATAGATAAGAGGCTATCAATAGCCAACAACTTACATGGAAACAAGCAAGCATGTACCTAAACCAACCCAATTACATGGTTGCCACACATGCAATGCATATGCCGGGGGGACAACCATGCTAAATACAACATTAAACCGGGGGGACAACCATGCTAAATACAACATTAAACCGATAATAAGCACATGACATGAATAATATGAAAATTTCCAAATCCAATTAAAAAGAGATTATTACATAGCTGTATCTTTGTATCAAGCAACACAGTATCTAACCTTTCATAACACCTAGACTTCCCTTCTACAAACAGCTGCCAAAAAACTAGACATTAAAGTAAGGAAAAGGAAAAGATTGAGAACACCTAAAGAAGTAACTATGTTAGCACTTTATTAGGTGAAACTCAACAGGAAGATTTGATTCTCTTTGCCACTGTCAGAAGAACGGTAAACATTATGTACTGCAGTACAGATATATCGAAAATGGTGACAAATAATCACACAAGTCAACATGGAAGCTTCTCAAAGAAGAGACGTACATTGATGAGGGAAACTTAGACAAGTCACCTTCGAAAATGCTCTTCATCATTTATCTCCTGTCAATTCATCCTCATTCTTTGTTTGGGAATCTTCATCAACATCCACTCTAGAAGCCTCCTCCATGGTAACATCTTCATCAATTGCATTATCCGATGCCTCAACCTCATTTTCATTGTTCTTGTTCAATTGACTGAACTCAACCTCATCCCCAGTTTTCACGGCTCCATCATCTTTAAATTCACTCTTGCTTTCAGGATTGTCAATGATTTCCTTCTTAAGGAGTCCGAACATACCATCTCCTCCATCAACTTCATCTTCTTTTCCAACTTCATTGGATTCCTTTTCAACAGTCACATCATCTCCATCAACCTGTTCCCTTTCTTTTCCAACTCTCTCTTCATTTTCTGCAAACTCTGTGTCATCCTCAATCCTATTCTCTTCATTCCCCTTCACATTCCCAACTCCTTCCATGGGCCTTTCAATCAGTTCAGCATTGTTATCCTCCAAAGAATGGCCATCGCCATGACTCTCAGTCTCACTCTCAGTCTCATTCTCCACAACCTCCTCATTCATCTCATCATAGCCACGGCCTTGCCTCTCAAGACTCAGCAACCTCCTCCTCAAATCACCCAACTCCCTCTCCATCAAGAACAATCTATCCTTCAAAATCAAGTTCTCTTCCTCCAATTGAGCAATATGGGTATCCTGATCATCCACACGGTTACCCAACACATTGTTATACTCTGTCCCGCTATAGTTTGGGTAAATCATCTCAAACCTGCTCAAATCATGATCCAACCGCCTTTCAACCTCCACATGTTCTTCCACATCACTCTCACTTGATCCTCCCTCCTCTTCTTCCTCATCCTCAGGTCCTTCTGCCTCGTGACCTGGCGACCTCAGTCTAATCAACCCATTCATCGATCCATACCCATCCACTCCCCACTCCTCTTTCGCCATATCTATCAACACTTCCCTAGATGGAGAAAACATCGGAGTGGGCAAGACAGCAGGAGTCACAGGACAAGGAGACACCAAAGAAGCAATACCACCACTCTTTTTAGCCCTAATAATATATGAAGACGTGTTCCGAGGCGCATACGGTGCAGTCCTGTTATTGTTGTTGTTGTTATTATTATTATGATAAAATTTCTTCTTAGGGAAAAACCTCCTGGCCTTTAAGCGATTTTGTTGTTGTAAATCATTTAACGTAGGTGGCTTATACCCGCCTTGATTTCCAACAATTCCTCCGGCAATACTACTACCACTACCGCTAGTTCCAATCTCGTTCCTCCTAACTCCATCCATTCTCTTATCCTTCTTATTTACCTTTTTACCCTTCCAATTGTTTCTAGGACCCAAGGGTTTGGGATGCTTTCCAGGAACAAATTGCTTCAAATTATGATTATTAGGGTTTTGAAATTTGAGTTGATCCACCATAGACGGCGGTGGCATAGGCGGCTGCGGCCACATCCTATAGCTCCGATTCATCATCTGAGGCTGCTGCTGCATCATCAACGGAGGCACACTCATTCTCATACTCATATTCAAATCATACATCGAATTAAAGCTATATTTATCATTCTCTACTACCTGCTGTGGTTGTTGTTGAAGCTGTGGATTCAAGATCTGAGGTTGACTCATACTTATCATTTGGTTTTGACCCATACTCATCCTCTGTTGTTGGTTCATCATTTTTACTTGCTCATTCATTTCTCCAAAAACCACCAAAAACCCTAACCAAAAAATCAAAAATCACAAATCAAATCAGTCACCCTACAAATCAACGATTAATCGCCAAAAAATTACACAGAAAAAAACAAAAGATTCCACAAAAATCAAAGATATATACAGATTTTTCTAGAACTTGATGAAATCGAACAAAGAAAAAAAACAGTTCCAACAATCTGATGTTTTTTACCCTAAATTCAGTTTAATCTTTTGATGATTTTTTCTTCCTTTTATTCGATTATTCGATTCTTCTTCTTTAAATTTCGATCGGTATTTTTTTCGTGATCTTTGAATTTATGTATTCTAGTGGTGGGGGAGAAGGAGAGTCGGTGTTTATATAGGGGATGGGAAAAATTTAACGGCTGAGATTTATTTATAATGATAATGGATGATGGATAAGTGAAACGTGTTGTACCGGGTTTTTGACAAGGATTAGGTTTTGAGAAAATAACCGCCCTTACTTTTTCGATTGAATTACGTATACCGCCATTGTGAATTTTGTAAATTACATAGGCGTCCCTCATTTTTGAGAATAGTACAATGAAGTTCAATTTGTTGTAAAATGGGGTTGGATGTCCACGTGGCTAAACTTGATCTCTAAGTTGGTGGAATCTAGGGTAGGCGTTAGGTATTCGGTTCGATTTTATCAAATTTTGATTTGATTAAATTGATTTTATGAAAAAGTGTGTATTAAATATCAAATTCGATTTGTTTTTTTAACTCTGTTTGATTTCATTTGATTCGATATATATAAAATAAATTTTATAGTGTGAATGAAAAACATAAAATAATGACAGAATCAAACTATAAAACACTGACAAATTTAAGTCATGTTAAGTGATGACTCATCATAAAATATTGAGGGTTATTTGGTAGAGTATATAAGAATAATATTAAATAAAATATATTAATTAGAAATACTTGTATTTATTATACAAGATGATTTGTAACGCATTGTTTGGTTTGATATACTAAAAATAAATATTTCCTCCGTTTAAAAAAAATGACCTCCTTTCCTTTTTACTTTGTTTAGAAAAAGAATGACCTTCTTTCCTTTTTTGTCTGTTTAAAAAAGAATGACCTCTTTTTTTTAATAACTTTCCATGTGGCATGCTTAAGGTCATATGATCAAAGGGCAATTTTGTACATTTGACCTAACTTTAGTTTAGAACCACAAGATTCAAAGATTTCTTTATAATCTTAAACTCTGTCTTACATCAAATTAGATCATTTTTTGTGAAACAGAGGGAGTAATATATTTATTTACAATGATGTCATTCATAATTATGGTGGAAAAAAAAAGATAAAAAAATATTTTGAGGGGCAATGAGATCTTTACCATACAAGTGCATGCATTAAATCCTTGTATTACTAATATATATCATGAATTTTCATGCATTAACAGTACACTTTAATATGCAATAGAGTCTAATCATTAGCTATACATAGCATGAAAAAGTATATCAAACAAGATAGTATTAATACATAAAAATTAGTGTATACATTATAAAGTTCAATTTTTCGATACACCAAAGTTCGTAAACTGTTACTAAATCGAAGATTCAAAATTGAAGAACCGAATTAATTCAATCCATTTAATTATTCGATAATTATGTCCATTTCAAGTGAAATATGAGCAATCTTCTTTTGCCAATATTCATTCATATCACAAATCCTAAATAAATATTTACTTTATAAAATATATATGTTTGCTATGTCACATTTATTTTATCTCAGCATCAATTGATTCCAAGTTGGTAATAATTTATTACATAATTAGGGAATTTGGCCGGGCTTCGCGTAGTCTTCAAAATAAAAATTAAAGGATTACTTTTTTCAATCAATTATATAGTTCTCTTTATCTCCAAACGTAATATTATCACTTTATTTTTTTACTATATATTAATTATGAAGATCGTTTGAGATGACGATCAAAATGAAACTTAAATTTAACATCTATAATGAGGGATAGTACATTATTAGTCAATATATCAAATGTCAATATATATTTTCTTAGTAATTTTTTTGTTTGGACGGGTAGTTAATATGTCACTTTCTACATTTTATTGGAATACCAATGAGTTTGAATCTTTATATTACAACATATAATCCGATGTACTTTTTTTCTTGAGTATATAAGAATTATATTATAAATAACTGAAAAATACTAATAAAATACATCTACACGTCTTATTATCCTTTTTCATATTGATATGATAAAAATCCTTTGAATATTTTGTTTTTCAATCGTTTTTGTTCCTTTTTCAAATATACAATTTAAATTTGTATGATTTTTGTATGAATCACATCTATTGGTATTTTAGATTCTTTAGTTGCATCTATATCAAATATAATTGTTATCATTTGTCAAATTTGTTTTTTAAGAATGTTATTCAAAATGTTACGTTATTATTAAGTTTCAATATATCCAACCTCGAATGAGAATATGTTTTTTTTTTTAAATTATTAACTCGTTTACTACATTTTAATCTTTATCTTTTATGTGAAATATAAAGATAAATAGATTCATATAAACTACGTAAAAATATTTGATAGATAATAAACATCTTCACATATTATGTGTATAGAATAACAAAATTCAAAAGTTAATTAAATTGAATACTCTGATAATATGTTTCATTTCAAATATACTTCTTGCATTCTCAAATCAATAATTGCACCTCTTTTTATATAAAATTAATACATGAACACCCTAAGATATATACTCATTACTTAGTATATTAAAATAATTTAAAATTTTAATCATAATTTTGTGTTTTTAGTCATACTCATATGAAAAGTTTTTATGTACAAAATTTTGTGTTTTATTTTTAAAAAATATATTAAAAATCAAATCAACTTATTTAGTCATTTGTATTCATCTTTTATTTAAAATTTTCAAAAGATACATATTTAACAAAAATAAATTAATTTATCAAATGCGTGAATAAGTTTTTTGTAAGGATCGAATTCACGAAAACACACTAGATGAATGAAGAACACAAGAACTTTCAAGAGAAAGGGGTGAGAGATCTAGAGAGAGAAAGAGAAAACCCAATATTTCGTGGTAACACCCCGTGAGTAAACTTCCACGGTGGTGAGGTATATTTATATTAATAAATCAGAGTATTTTTGGTTACAGAGAATAAATAGGAAAACCTAAAATAGAGAATAAATAAGAAAGCCTAAAATAGAGAATAAATAGGAAAACCTAAAATTAATCAGGCTCCACTACCTAACAATTCTCCCACTTGGAGACTGACTTGGTCATCCAAAAAATACATTCTCAAAAAAAATCTCTTCATCATCAACATCTTTACCGCACCTCAACATCTGTAGCAACAACTACAGAAGACCAACCGAGGTTTTACATAACCTCACTTTCCCAACATCAACACATTTCGTCAACATGTCTGTCAGGTTCTTTGCACCCTCTATCTTCTCCAAGCACATATCAATATCCTCCACTACCCTGCGAGTGAAATGGTATCGCCTTCTGATGTGCTTTGTCTTCGAATGATAGACTGGATTTTTCACCAACTGTATGACACTTTGGCTATCTGAGTAGAGAATCTTCTCGCTCTGCTTCTTTCCCAATTCCTCAAGATAATCTGTCAGCCATATCATCTCTTTCCCAGCTTCAGCTATTGCCACATACTCAGCTTCAGTATATGAAAGAGAAACACACTTCTGAAGCCTGGACATCCAACTCACTGCTGTTCCACTTATGGTGTAAATATACCCGGATGTACTCTTGCTCGAGTCAACATCCCCACCAAGATCAGCATCCACAAAACCCTGTAGAGTCACCTTGACTTTGCCAAAACAAAGTGAAGTACTGGATGTACCTCTCAGATATCTCAGAAGCCACTTCACAACTTTCCAATGCTCTTTCCCAGGGTTCGCCATGTACCTGTTAACAACTCCCACTGCATGTGCTATATCAGATCTAGTGCAGACCATAGCATACATCAAACTACCAACTGCTGAAGCATATGGAACAAGTGCCATGTGATCACGTTCCTCGGCAGTCTTGGGTGACTGCTCCTTTGACAATTTAAAGTGATTTGCCAATGGAGTAGTCTTGGGTTTAACATCATTAACCCTGAATCTGCACAACACCTTCTCAATGTACAACTCGTGAGATAGATTTAAAGTGCCAGCAGATCTATCCCGAGAAATCTTCATCCCCAAAATTTGTTTTGCTGGACCCAAATCTTTCATCTCAAACGCTGCAGACAACCTTGTCTTCAGATTGTTAATCTCCCTCATACTAGATCCTGCAATCAACATATCATCCACATACAAGAGTAGAAAGACATATGAATTAGTGTATTTCTTGAAATTACAACAAGGATCCTTTTCAGCTTTGCAGAATCCACTCTTGGTCATGAAGGAGTCAAACTTCTTGTACCACTGCCTTGGTGCTTGCTTTAGTCCATTCAAGCTCCTGGTGAGCTTGCACACCATGTGTTCCTTGCCTGGAACCACAAATCGTTCCGGTTGCTGTATATAGATCTCTTTGTCCAGATCTCCATGTAAAAATGTTGTTTTTACATCCATTTGCTCTAGATGCAAATTCTCCGATGCAACAACACTCAACAGAATTCGAATAGAGGTTAACTTCACAACAGGAGAAAATATTTCAGCATAATCAATACCTTTCCTTTGTGAATATCCTTTAACCACTAAACGATCCTTGAACCTTCTTTTGCCATCTGGTTCAGTCTTGATTCTGAACACTCACTTGTTCAGCAAAGCTCTCTTCCCAGCAGGTAGCTCAGTCAACACCCATGTGTCATTCTTCTCAAGTGACCTCATCTCATCATCCATGGCTTGCTCCCACTTGATCGAATCCTCCACCTGTAGGGCCTCATCAAAAGACTCTGATTCCCCCTCATCAGTCAGCAATAGATAGTGTAATGAAGGTGAATACCTATCTGGTGTCCTGATGGATCTGGATGGTCTCCTTAACACCTGCTCAGGTGTAACTTGCTCCACTTCAGATTCTTCAGTAGGAGTTGGTTGAGTATCTGCTTCGACATCTCTAGGGTTACTCTTCTCCAATTCAACCTCAACTCCCACTTGCTTTGTAATCTCTAGAACCTTCTGCTCTCTGTCCTTGTACAGGACAGACTCATCAAATGTCACGTCACAATGTCTCAGGATCATTCTGTTCTTGTCATCCCAAAACCTGTAACCAAACAAATCAGAACCATAGCCTATGAAGTAACACTTCACAGCCTTGGCATCAAACTTGTCTCTCTTTTCTGGATCAACATGAACATAAGCAGTGCAACCAAAAGTCCTCAAGTATGAGTACTTGAGTTCTTTTCCTGTCCACACCTCC